TGTAAACCAGCAAGTAATTAATGAGTATGATTATATCGTCAGATTATATACGCACACCGCGAAAATGTACATCTTTCTTGCATATTACGATAAGAAGCACATTTAATTTGTTTGATTTTAGCTCGTGAAACGGGATATAATTAAAAAGTTAGCACTTTTTACAAAAATTAAAAGAATAGATATTTAATTATTGTAAATTTTTTTTTTAGATTATATCAAATATACATGTAACTATGAAGATATCATACAAAGGGAAAGATAATAGATTATTCATTTCATTCAAAATGATTGGATATAACAGGGCAATATGAATCAAGCACGGTAATTCTTGTGCAAACCAATACGGTTAACAAAACAACTTTAATAATAATTAATTCGCTTACATGTTTCGGCTCACTTTTGAGCCATCCTCAGAGACAATATGATGTTGTAATTACAAAAAATTTTTTTACACTCTGATTCATTTCAGTGAGCCATCTTCACTTATTAACGAAAATTATAATATATAAAACGAGCTCTAATAAAAATCTAAAATGTATTAAAATTATTAAAAGCTAAATTTGTTGGGGGGGGGGAGGGAGCAAAAACAATTTATTGTAAAATAATAGAAGGTAGCTTACTAAAATAAAAATCCATATCGCAAACTTAAATTTTATTGGTTTAGTCAAAAATTTTTGACCATACAGCGAATCAGTGTCAATTATGTGTTGAAATTAATGAATAACTTTTAATACACTTAAATCGCAAAGAAAAAAAGAAAAGAAGAGGAAAAAATTCTAATATTAATTATAGTCCAGACGGACATCAAAACCAAAACTGAGTCTTTAAAAATTTAATCTTAATGTAACAAAGGATTTTTGTAATTACAACATCATATTGTCTCTGAGGATGGCTCAAAAGTGAACCGATATATGTAAGTGGATTAATTATTATTAAAGTTGTTTTGTTAACCATATTGGTTTACACAAGAATTACCGTGCTTGACTCCGGTTGCCCTGTTATATCCAACCATTTTGTATCATTAAGGAGTCTTTAGGAATTAATTTATATTCATTTTATTATTGCAACTAATTAAAAGTGCTACAAACAAAATGATGATTCATGTAACATCAATTTTTAAGAGATTAAGTTATAATTAAATTTCATTGAACGCTGTAATTACATCTACTTATAGGCGGTTATAGCTCCATCGAATGAGATTAGAGCGCGTTATGTGCATGTTCATATGTGCAGAATAATCCTGTCACATTCAGTATTCCTACCTTTGATAGTATTTGTCTGTACTAACAGCTGCACTGTAATTTAATATAGATATCAGATAATATCGATATATTATTATAATAAATTGTAAGTTAATAACAATAAAACAATTTACTAATATTTAATTCTGCATTCTGTAATAAGATTTTAAAATTGAATTTAAATTGATGGTAAATGAATCTATCGCTTTGCAAAAAGCACAATTTTTTTTTCAACTATAAAAATGGGACTTTTAATTGAATGTCCGTTTTTATATTCTGTATTTATATTAGGGTTATACTGTGTATTAGTGATTGTCGCATATTCGAAGAAGGATGGTACGAAATAACTTATAATGAAACTTTCTTACATGCTACAAATCAGGCTGTTATCATATATTTTAAGTGTGAACACGCCTACGTCTTCGTTATTGTCTCCTGTGGCGCCTCGCAATTGTTTTCTCGCAAAATTTACAGCAATGCCTTGAATTATTTCGCGGTAAACTTTGGTATTAAAACACCGAAAACAAATATATTGTTATACATTTATGAGGTATTATATTAAGAGCGTAAAAGATTTTGACAAATTTGTGTGAAAGATTATTTTTAATAAAAAAAAAATATATATATGTATATACGCGCGAATATAAATTTTATTCTATAAATAATTAAAAATAAATTGGAAAATTTTTCAATCTAAAAAAATAATTAATATATATATATATATACGCAAGACTATGATGCAGGAACTTAGTTTGTTGCTATTTTTATCTGTTTGCAAATAATTATTTGTCTGATAGAGAAGATGACATTCGATAAATAAATTGTCAAGTTTTAATGGTATATGAATAAATACCAATATCGTCTACATTAATTTTTTATTGTATATATTGATGAAGTTTTAGAAAAACTAATCTATTGCGGAAATTAATTTTAAATGATATTAAATAAACTAGAAAAAGTATATGGATTGAAAATAGTCGTTATTGCGCGCCTCTGTTTATCTCTCTCTTGGCCTTGTTACGATACCGCTTGCTAGTAGATGAGAATAGATGAAACGAGGATACGTGGCAGGCAAGGAGAACAGAAAGAAAAAGAAGGAGACTAGAAAGAAGAAAAGATTCGAGAAGAAACGAACGAAAGAAATCTAAAGGATCCTAGAAAGTACGTGAGACTCAACCAGCGTCTCGAAATACCCAACTGCGGGCTGTAGTGCATCGAATAGCCGTTTGTGTCGAATAGCCCTGCCACGTTTCAATTTCTTTACATGCATTGTTGCATGCATGCACGAGTTGCGACACTGTTCGCGTATTCGGTATATTACTGCGGCCGGCCGCAGTGGTCTCGCTTGCAACTTTTTTAATTGTCTTACGCTGCACCAAGCGGATTTACCGATATTTTTTTTTTTTTTCAATGTCTGTACACGTTTGCGAATACGGCGAATACAGTACAATGAACAACGACTCGAAACGATGTCATTACAGTTCAATGACAGGCATTCATACCGCGAAACGTGTACAGAACTTATCCTTTATCGGACAATTGCAGAATTTTCAATCTAATATTGTATATCTTTTTACGAAAAACGATTCTGATGTAGTTTAGCAAATACGATATATTAGAAATATTTCTGTTCTAATTTCATGGGGAGAATAGAAAGTTACTTCCAAGATAAGTAACATACATAATCTTCCAAATAATTTTTCTACAAATTTATATAACTAGCTCTTCTCTTTCTTGATTTATCTTCAACGGTTTTAATCGATCACGAACAATGCTTTATTTAAGTAATAATGCAATATCATTACTTAAGATATAAAATTATTTGTTAGAATCTGTTATTGATTTTTATTAATTTAGCAGAATTTATTATATCTACAAAAAATTATTAAATAAGAAATTGATTACTATTTAAAAACGAGATTAAATAAATTATATGCTTATAAATTTTCTTGATGGTCTTTCAGTGTTAAATCTATTGATTGTCTTTTAGTTTTAAATCCATTTTGAAATTGTTTTATCATATAATAACAATTTACATATAGTAGTCGTACATAAAGTATATCCTGACTTTTTTTATCAGATAAATGTTTTTTATCAGACAAACTTAAAATTATAACAATAAATTTTTTCATAAATTTAAAATTATCAAAATGTATGTGTTAATCAAAAAAATTGTTTTTGAGAATTATTTCTGAAAAGATTGATTTTAGACTTTTCCAACGATTAAACACATGCGACGTTTTATTTCTGTTCCATGCTCTATAAAAGAAAAAATTAGACAGCGGACAAAATAAAAGAAGCCAAACAACCAACGCGTAGATCCCTGGCATGTCCTACTCGCTTTCCAATCTTCTATTGAGTCAGTTTATCGTACCACAAATTTCGCTCTAGATACGAACCGTTCGTAAAACCTGTAGGTCGCGAGCAAACTCAATCACGGTGCCAGTACGGCGAGACAAGTACGAACGACGAATACGAGATTTCGGGCTTTTTTGTATCGATACGGCGACGTTAATAATTCTATTACTCCATCACTATTACTCTATCTCTAGATCGGAAACAATCGTAGTTCCCGAATCGTTACGTAACTAGGATTTGCAGGATTGAATAAGGACGACGCATCATTGTAATGCTTCGACATTTGTCATAGCAGAAAGATGATATCCAAAATATATTGCGTACGACGAATATGGTAAACATAAATTGATACATCAATCAAAGAGAGAAATATTATTATATTCGCGGTAAATCACGATATCGATATTTTCACTCTGTGAACGAAGAGTTCGTCATATACACTAAAATCAATATCGAACATGTATGAAAATAATATTAAACAACGTATTACACCTGCGGCAACAATAAATGAAGAGAGTGTCAATCCTGGTCCTGTGAGTAATTAAGGGGTGATTGTGTTATTCTATAACAAATCTGATTAGTTTGTTATATTGTTAATTTTATTATTAAATATTCGTTTCTTTAAACAAGTATTGAAATTAACAAGTACATTTATAAATTGACTGTTGCGAGCTCATATTTGATCGAAATTAAATTTTTCATTACGCAACAATTAAGCTCACACGTACAACAATTAAGAAATACCAGTAGGAGGGAAAAAAGTATTAAAATTGTCAATCAATCGTAATCATTGCATGGCCATTGTTCGATAAAACATATAGGTCACGCATAATTGATTGGATATAATTATTTTATTATCATGTCGATTGTCATTTCACCGAACGGTCAAAAGTCTGACTGATACAGCGAGATAAATTATATTGTAATATTTCGATTATCTGTTAATGTATAAGTTAAAAAAATACGCGCGCAATAATTATGATTGGAATTAGTTATTACATTATTAACATATTGATACTGTACCACTGCCTACTTATATACACATTAGACGCACATAGAGCACATTTACAGACGAATAAATGCGAATGAATATTTCCATAGGAAGCTATGTTGCGTAAGAAAAATCAATTTCCTGATAGGAAGTTTCGAGCTGTTCCTCGCGTCTCATGTTTCCGGGAAATAGCGTGACTGACATTAAATTTCATTTTTTTTTTTTTTGCAATTGTGATACTCTTCATGTCTACAGTGATTCATTTATCTTGACGACCTCAAATTACGTTTGAATTGTACTTTTTACATGAAAAAAATTGGTTTAAAAAGTTGTTAAAAATTGTACATTTTTAGGTATTGTATATGATATGCAAAAATGTTATAATTCAATACTTCTTGTTTGTATTTCAGGATGGAGCGTACGTGAAACAGAGCGACATGGATGGTTTAGGACTCTGTCCTTACGATCCGCGGCACAATAGCACAGCGGTTTTTGCCGGTAAGTTTCTTCTTTTATAGCAATACGAATAATGTACTTAACACTTGTATGACGAGATCAATCGAATTGATGAGAAATATATGATACATAAAATCAATATTTTTTCAAATCTTAATTTGAATAGAATTCTATTTTCTTTAAATATTGAACGAACTCCGGAAAATGAAGTTTCGAAGCTTTGATATACAGAAATTTATACTTTTTCAAAATATTTATTTTATTCTTGGATGAATTTAAGTAATATCCCAAAGAATAGATTTTCTCGCAGACGAAAACGTCGGCGCGATCATTGTGATAGCAGTGTTATCGAAATATTTTTACGTGAAGTCCATGCCACTCTATGCAGCTCCGAAAATCGTTTCCGCCTGTGGAAAATATTTATCGAGGACATTTTTATTACATTGTGAAACATATGCTGTGCACTACATACCAGATTTGACGGGCGACACGTGGCTTTGACGACAGTAAGTGCCACTTGAGAGATTCGACCGCTCTACAACGAGTGAAGTAGCTTGTGAGAACGAGAAGCTCAACGCGAATATCACGAGTCCTTGTGTATTCCGCACAGAATTGAGATACACGCAGGATTGCGTCCCGCGCAGCAAATTTGTTAAATTTGCGTAAACAATTATGACAGATGATTCGTAAAAATTATTCCCTTTTTCATCCCCCTGCGGGATAAAAAAGAGCACGATTATCATACAGGTTTTTTTCATATTTAGTTTCCATATCTAATTTACAGAGTTTATTATTTCTTTACGTGTTTTCTCTATCATTATTATAATTCAGTCTTATTTTGTACTGAAGAGAGTAATTTTTTTTTAACTGAGTTCTTCTTTGAAAATTCTCTGAAGAAAAAGTTATTTTATTTTTCAAATAATTATTCTTTAACCAGTGATATGAATCCGCACAATCCCTCTTTTTCAAAGAGAATCTTGAAGCTAAAGCACTATAACTGTGTTTTTTATTCAATGGATTTAGCCGTTTGCTTGTTTGAAATATTTGTTTCTCTTAAAGAGTTTCTTCAGAAATTCTTTATTCTGCAGTGAACTTACTTTTAATATATTTGCTATCTTTAGCATGAGAAGGGAGATCGGTTCATGAAAACCGTGTGCTCTAGTTACGCAGTATGTTCTCACTGCCCCAGTTAAGGGTTAAAGATGAATGGACTTCACACGTGTTAAAGAATCATTAAAGAAATGAATTAATGATTCTGGAATTATTCAGAGATGTTTTATATCTGTCAGATTAGTGCGAATTCTACTACAACTACTATTGCACCTTCAAAACCTGCAAAATTAATTTCAATTTTATTATCCTAGACAATGTTAGATAACAAAACAGTAGCGAGAAATGTTTTACGCTACGTCACATATATTTTATTATTTTATTATTTCATTATTTTATTATATCGCGTACATCACAGTATTTTATTATTTTTGTTATATATCATTTATATTGTATAAACATATAAATATAACATACACGTTATTTATTACGTGTCAATTAATTTTTCTGTTAAGAATAGGTATTTAGTTATGTACAATGTACAATTATGCTAATACGATGATAGAAAAATACATTCAACTTTACAAATAACAATAACGTAGATTGTAAATAACAACATTAATATTGTGATATTAATGCTGTGAGAAAATAAGTTTGATATGTAATTTGATAAAAATATATTCTATCTATTTGCTCGAGAAACTTTTTACTTGTATGATGTATAACGTGCAGTTTCATACGTTGAACGTTATAATTTGCTGATTACGAGGCACGTGCGCGCGTCGTATGTTCGCCAAAGTGCAACGGTAAATCAATACTCTGGCAAAGCAAACGATACCTTGCTTCAATGAAGTCGTTTTACAAACATGTTTGAAATTTCTATGTGTAAATGGCATGTCTATTGGGCACATTTAAATTGTAAAAGATATTATCTTTGATACATTTAATTTTTAATAAAATAATTGAAATTACAAAAAAGAAATTGAAAATATGCGGATCAATTTTTCATATCTCCTTTTATGTATTTATTTAAAAGTTCTAAATAAAAATCGTTCTTTAAGATAAATAATATAGTGAAAAATATTGAAAAATAGTATTGTAAAATAAAAAAAAAATTAATAAAAGATAATATTATTAATAAAATACAATATTAAGAAAAATAATATATTCATGTCATTTTTTATTTTTGACTACAAGAAGTATCTTCCGTTGATAAAAAAATCTTTTTTTTTATCTCAAATCTTATCTGTTAAAAAGCATTAACGTAATCAAATATTTGACGATATTTTTATATCACTAATATGATCTTGCAATTTAGTATAATTATAAAATAAAAAAATCGATTGTCACATTTTTGTTATATATAAGTTTATTAAAAGTTTATCAAAAGTTCATACTCTTTCTCTTTAATTTTTCTCATATTTTTATATCTTTCTATATACTCCCAGCAACTTTGTTATATAGTGACTTTGTTCTTAAAAATACGATTGCAATATAAGATACAAAGAGTTGCAATTACTACATTAATTATCAGCCGATTCCTGCTTTATTAGCTGTATTTAATTATTAATTACACAATTATTTTGTAACATTTAAATTTGTATTTTTTTATTCCTAAATATGGATCGCTTTCCATATTTAATTACATGTTGTGTATTAATGAGGTACAAATAGAGGGAAGGACAATATAACGGAAGTAAAATATAATGGAGCGATATAAATAATTAAAGCGTAAATGTGTACGCACACATACTATATAATTTATTTAATATCTATTATATTATTTTAGATCTTATTCGTATTATAATAAGGTACATACATAAGTAAAACAATAATATAAATTTTTGTTAATTATAAATTGTGTTAATTATAAATATTCGTATATCTTGTATCATTTTATTTTGGTAAGTGTGTACAAAGGCTTCCAGATTTTTATATTGAAATTTTTAAAAATGTAAACGGCCACCTCGTTGAATTTAAGAAGTGGAATAGTTTGCGAAAACAGAAGTGTATAGCTTGTTTTCTTTTCATTATCTACAACATGTAGATGAATTGTGGAACGTTTTCAATAGATTAAAGTTTAAACAAGTTGAAAATTCATTGTTTGGAATTTTGTGAACAGAAAAACATTTTAGAACAGGTGCTTCTTTATCTTTTTTTTAAATATATACATTAATTTTTATAATATTATGAAACTTTTTAATTTCTCATACATTCTCGCTAGTTTGATAAACTTATTCCGCAATTGATTGATATATTTTTGTACTAGAAAAATAATCAACATTACAGATATTTTTTAAAAATGTTTTTTGTGCGTTAAAATAATTTATGTGCATTACTTTAATTTAAACATGCGAACACTTTTTTCTGTATTTTTCGACAATTTTCACGAATTTGGTTTATTTCTTTTAGGATCTAAAATACGATTCGTAAGATGATTCATGGCTTTCCTCTTAGAAGATATATATATTCTCTCGCGGGAAATACAGAATGCGTTCTATCACCGTATTCGTTGATTTTGAGGTGATCTGACAGAGTCTTGCCATTTCGAAGATCTTCTCTGAAAATTTCGTCTCTTAGCTTTACCAATAGCCTCTTTGTACTGACACTGTACGTGCTTATATTGCTTCCACTTCGAGCGAGATACCGTTCTTCCTTGCACGTTGAGGAATTTCGTCATCTTACAAAATCCTTTCAGGAGCTTTATTCCTGCACACAGCGAAACCCTCAACATTTATTTTTGTAGAGTCAGATCAGAGTGAATGTTTCCACATAGTAGCCACAATCAGTATACGTTCATTCATACAATTTATATTATTATACATATAATTACAGATAATATTATTTCGATTTAATATATTTAATTCATTTTTCTTATCCCGTTACATTTTTCACCATAAAGTGTATATGTAAATTGAATCAGAACATTCAGAAAACGCGATTTATAAACACTGAGATAAATCTTCACGTCGCATACGACACGTAGAAGCCAATAGTCAGTTATGATACCATAGAAAACTGTTTATATCTCAGAAACGGTTGAACTTCCGACCAATGTTTACTTAGACTTTCTTCTCTTCAGTACGATGCATAATAATTTTTTCCTGAATAACCTTATATAGCATAACTTTTATTCGAAAAATGGCAATTCTTCAATGAAAATTCACAAAAGATATCGTTACTCAAAACCGCTTAGTGTTCGAAATCCTTTTTATTCCCATGTTACAATGTATTATGCTTTGTTAGCGGCTTTATTCTGAATTCCGCTTTCAACAGCGACCCGTAGCTATCTGCCGAAACTTTCGTTAAGTTTTCGCAGAGACGACAGCAGCCAGCGTAATGCGTCGGCGACGCAACGGTGCATTAAATCACTCCTAAGTACAGCGCGTACGCAGGCAGCCCCAGATCTCAGCGCGTTACGTGTCGCTGAGATGCGAGCGGAGCGGAGCGGAGCGGAGGGATGCTGAGGACGGGGTTGCTCGCGCGTACGTAGCCAAGTCTCTTTCCCGCAGGTATTACGCGCGTGGCACACGATATTCGCGAGCTTCGGCGTTGCCACAGGCTCACCGTAGATTTGTAGCCTGCAACGGGCACGTTCATCCCCCTAAGTCTAACGTCTGCCTCGCCCCCGTTATATATGACTATCCGGCCGCTATATACACTTATCGCGCGCATACGTTGGCCGGCCTCAAATCCCATCGTGCTTTTTGAACGTGAAATATGGGAGCCCCGCGAGGAGCCGCGGTGGCGAATCCTTCGAGGATCTCCTTTACGAGAACACGGAAAGGAAATGCAGTTGCACTGTGGATACCCGTTGTGTATACCGGCGTATTATGTACTCTGGGCAAACGCATATAGCGATCAAAATCCATGGATTTTTCCGGGGTTTTGCGACCGATTGCGCCCGACGCTGAGAAAAATTGTTCGCGTACAAGATTATTTTCTAGATGACGAGCTTTTCTTTGAATAAAAATTCTCTAACAAAATTGAACAATTTATTTCCATACACGTGCATATTGTGTGTTTGGAAATAAAAGTTTCAAGATAGAAACTTAATTACTTTATAGAGGAGAGGCTCCTATTATTATGAGATACCGAGTTCATTTGGGTAAATGCTAGATGGCTATAGGCAGAATTGAAAAAAATAATAGATCATTTTTTAAGGGAATTTAATAAGCTTTAAGATAACGTTACATAAAATTTAATTCAAATTCCATTTTTTTTTTTTTTTAATTAAAGAAATGAAAAAAGTGACAAAATCGCAAAATCAAAAAATTGTGCTCCTAATATAAGATGCCCCGAGAAATCGATAGTAAAACGCAAGGTATATCAGTAATGCAATTAAAAAATTTTATTTAATGTTTCTAAAATACAAACACAGCCAGCGTGCGCGAAAAATGAGCATACGATAGATTATATCCAGAACTCGTTTTCAGATAGTTGTCAAGATAGTAAATCAAGCATCGCACGTTCATTCCGGTTGTCTTTTTTATTATTGTACAATAACATTTATACTTTAGCAACGATTTTCACTATAACATAAGAGCATGGGTTATTTCATATTAGGAATACCCTGGATATCTCATATTATGATTTTCATGCCTCATGTTTTACAATCGTCTAGGCTGAATGATTTACAATCGTCAAATTTAACTTCTGTAATTAAACAATTCAACATATCCCGTATTTTTCTATTGGTATGACCTTACTCTATTACTACATGAAGAATTTATGGCCAAATATTTATTTGTTAAATAATAAACAAGATTTAAATGCTCATTTCAATGAAACTTGAAGACATCCAAATTCTAAAATCTTGTTTTACAATGATCTACAGGCATGATCTAATAATAAATTTTTCTACTAAATAATTTTCAATCCAAGAGCAACAAATTCATGATGGAAACAATAGATAGCGTTCATTAGTTTAGCAGAAACGCCGCTATCTCATATTAGGGGCTTTTCTTTTAGAGGCTTTCCTTTTAGGGGCTTTTACACTTGCATTAAATCAGTGCACAACTGTTTTTAATATAGCACTAGTGTGCACTAATGCGTACAATCGAACTCGTTAGGCATTATTAAAATATAAGATATTAGTGAAGATACTATAATTAAATAATTATATATTATTGGATATTAGCAAATGCATATAGTTTGGATTAGCAGATTAATTTCTATATATTTATATTTATTTTCTTATTATCTATGGTATACCTAGATAATACCTAGATAACAATATGTTAGTAGTTTGGTACCAGTATATTACAACAGATTGACATGAATTGTATCCGCATTATGTTGCTGGCAAACCTGCAGACACAACATGAAAGCATATCGGTGATAGAAATCGAATAGATCTACCGAGTACATACAATATTATGACAGGGAGATTGACGGCAGAAATCGAGCAGATTTATTGTTGCGTAAACATAAATATCGCTTCGATCTAGTGTCATCAAATTGTAGAAAGTTTTCTTCGATTTCTTGTTAAAATTTTACTGATATTCAATACGAAACATTTTTTGCATTAAATCTATTGCTTTTACTGTTCTTGTTGTTTTACAAGATATACTCTCGAGGCTGAGCTGCCTAAGTTTGGCGGGACCGTAAACATCGTGTCTCAAAGTTCCTTCCATAGAACAGCAAGAAGAAATTTATGATTTTGAGAATGACAGCGAGAATAAGAGAGAGTTAAATCCATACTTTAGAGGGAAAGAAATGTGTTTGAAAACTATGCAAAGTTATTCCAAGCCGTTCCATATCCGTAGAAAATAAGCTCCTCAACACGGAATTGGTTTTACAACACCACTTCAAAATTGCATGCGAATGTCAGTTCTAGAGTTCTTGATCTTCTCGTTTATGCTAATATGAGGATACAAGTATGTGTAAAAATTAATTCTTTACTTATGTTTACATATATGATGCATCCTCACTCTTTTTTTGCATAAGGCAATTTAGAGATGTAATGTGAAAAGTAATACTAAATAATTCTTATTAATTATTATTTTAAATTTTACCATCTACCAACATTTTCATTTATATTTTCACAATTATTTTTTACACAATTATTTTTTCATACAAGATGTCATACTTATTTTAACATTAACTGTAGTAAATAATTTGTATTGTAATGCAATAATTCGAATGCAATATTTGTGAATTTACTTATTGTTAGTAAATTATTCTAATTTATTAAATAGGATGATTTATATAAATAGTAATTACATATTACATATTAATTTTATTTTTTACAATTTATAGTTCAATATATTTATTATTTTCATTGTATGTATTGCATTTATTTTGGCTGATTCTGTGTCTACAGTGCTAATGAAAACATACATATATATCTTTGATAAAATATAATTTTAACGGTATTTTAAACCCATTCTATTTTATATTTGCACTTTCTGTTAAATTTGAGCAATTATGATTCAATTATTTTAACAGGAAAATATTACTCATCTAACATGAATTATATTAGGTGTTGGAATTAATTCGTAGCGTTTTACAAGTGATGGGAAGTACTTTCATTAATGTATTTTTTAATGCTCATGTGAAATAAATAACATTCTTTCATTTAAAAACGCTACGAATTAATTCCAACACCTAATAATATACACATATAATGCTTCTGAAAATTATCATCTCAGATTTCAATTATGATGAACAAATCATACGAATAATATATTTATCAGATTATTAATAATTTCCTGATTCCCCTTCTATTTTTACGAACTTTTTAATTTATAGATCATTATTTTTTGTCTTAAAATACTAGAATAATATAAAAAATTAGTTGTGTTTACCTAATTTTTAAAAAGAAATTGAAACTATTTTGTATTATAGATGAAAAAACATTATTAAAATCAGAATAAAGTTTTCAAATGCTAAAAAATTATATTAAAATTACGCAATTTCTCTTTCACCTTTATTTGACAAATATTTTAAGACGAAACCGTCTTTTGTATTAATGTAATATTAATAGAACTAAGGTTTCTCTTGTACTCTTTGGGGATTATATATGTCCTAAAATGTATGTATATTCTTCTCTCGTTTTAACATCATCTACCTTCTTCCCTCTATACCAACCTTTTGTGTTTAAATTCCCTTACGGAACCTACTTTGTTCGCACGATACCACACCTATTATTTTCTCTTTGAGTTGTGAATGTTATAATAGTCAAATTTCAATGAAGAAGCAAATACCAAGAAAGTACTCAGTGCAATATAAACTAATTATATACAAATAAAATAAATAAACGTAGATAATGACAGGTTCTTTCTTCATTTATGTAATCAAATGAAAGAAAGAGTAATTACACTTAAATGTATCAAATTTTTTCGCCACAATCGTTATATTGTTAATCACGTAACTTCCTTTCCTGATTTTTTTTCTTTCTTTTTATTTCTAAATAGCATAAAAATTGACTAATTACAAACTGAACTCACAAAATAAAATATGTTACAATACATTATACTTAATCTTCGTAAATACCATGTACTATTAATATTAGCTATTAACGTATTAATAGTAACTATTTTTACCTCTTCATTTTATTATATTATAGCAATTATTGAAGTAATCTACACATTTGTGGAAAGTGTATGTGGAATATATGATTTTTAATGTGACTTACACACGCCAATCTATCATACATTACTTTAATCTTACATGTTACGCTCATGCGAGATAGTTATTTCTATTGAATTTATGTCGCATGACGTATTTTAATCATTCCTTATAATTATTATATTATATTATATACCTTTTTGGATCCATTTTTATTAAGTGCATTGTTGTTTTTCGTTGAACATTTTTCATTAATTATCTTCAACTTTCTAATTTATTCATTCTATTTTCGTGTCTTTGTCATTTATCTAATTAAAAAATTAATATTTATGTGCGAAATTAATAGAACAATTTAGAGATGACCATCATGAATATATTTTACATACAATAATAGAGTAAGAATATTATATATATATACATAAATCATGAAATGTTTTCATCAAAAACTTATTACGAAAAGAAAGAAAATAATTCTTCATTTAATTTTCCATTTCAAAATACTGTTCACCTTTGTCAATTCAAGTCTTACAATACAATTCTAAGGCTCAACTCTTTAAGCTCTGAAACTACCAGGTCTTACATTGCTATTTTCTATTGAAGAATTACGAAAGAAAGAGTATATTGAAGAACAGAACAAATCGATGTATTAATTAAAATTAGACAATTTATTGGCACGAAATTTGTAAATTGTTAACTTATTTTTTTTAATAATTCACGTATAACTAACATAGAGCATTTGTGTCGAAATTAATATAGAAAAGTCATGAATGTGGGAGTGACTGGCGGAATGAGTTCGTATAATCACCTGCGTTGATTCAAGATATGGCATCGTTTAGGGACACCAAGGCCTTCCGTCGCGCGTTGGTCCTTCGAGGATTTTGATAGCGGGAAGCGAAAGTTCGGTCATGCCATAGAGTGTCATGCCAGTGCGTGCACACATATGAATCTTACGGATAGTACCACCGACGTAAATTCAACGGGCAATTTCCGAGAGACGCGTTAGTAGGAGGATGAATTAACCCTGAGAGTCGCTGTACAACCATCGACCTGATGGTGCTCGTTTAGCTTGCAAATGTGGAAGGTGCGACTGACTGACGGAAACGTTTATGCATGTTTCAGAGGGACAGTTATACGCAGCGACGGTGGCTGACTTCTCTGGCGGAGAGCCGCTGATTCACAGAGACAAAATTCGCACCGAACGCTCGGATCTCAATCAGTTGAATGGTAAGCTCCTAGACATTACGATGAGAAATTCATGTGGCGTTGATGTGGTGTCCACGATTTCTCGCAATTTTATTTATAAGTTTATTCGATTTGCGCAAACAATATTATATATATATATCTATAATACAATATTCGATTCTATAATTCGAAAAATATCTAGCATTTAATTAATTTCAATATGCGCGTATTTATTTACACAGATTTTTTATACAGCTTCTGTAGAATTTGCTAAATAAATTTATGAGATAGGAAAGTAGATCTACAACTTATATCAAAACAGAGATAAAATAATTTCATTTCTATGATAATTACATAATTTTTTAGATTTGCTTCTTTCATTATCTGATATTTTAATAGACACGAGTGCAATAATACGAGAAGATTAATTTCAAGATTAATTATAATTAATGATATAATTAAAGATAATTATGATATCATCTTTAAATAAGACGAGAAGAAATTTCTATCACACAGTAACGATTCAAATTACCAAACCAACAATTTGATTTTAAAGCATCACTTTATGTAAATATCGGATAAATTTATTGAAATATGAATTTATAATACAAATTATAATATATAATTATAAGAAATTATATTATAAATTATGTAAATGTTTACATTATCATATAAATTATGTAAATTCATAAGAAATAAGTTATTACCTGTAATATTTAGCCTGATCTTATCGCTAACAAACAAAATAATTTTATTTTTGTTAATCATTAAATATCAAGGTGAAAAAATTATATTGTAAAATATCACATTCTATAGAATAAATTCAATAATGGAACTCGATGCAATTTCATTATTTTAGGTCCAAACTTTGTCAGCACATTCGCATATCAAGATTATGTATTCTTCTTCTATCGTGAAACAGCCGTAGAATACATGAATTGCGGAAAGGTGAGGATTTTTTATTCGATATTTCTTAATCCTGAATAAATTTTGTTAATTATTTTGAATTTATTTTTGATTGTTTTTTGAAAAAAATTATTAAAATTTAGAGATTTATAAAGGAAACGATTTGAATTGTGTCCCGTACACACACGTCTTTTTATTTTTAACTCGTCAAGATTAAACAAATTCCGTACTGTAATTCTTGCGTTGGATGTTTTGAATAAAAAAGATCTCTTGATATAATATCTAGAAAATAACACATCCGTTTATAAAAATACAGAAATATAGAAAAATGTAAAATATTGATTGATCGCCTCACAAGTTTGATTCACGTTATATAGTCAGTCTACTCACGAGTTGGAAGAGTCTGTCAGCACGATAAAGGCGGGCCACACGCATTTAGCGACAGATGGACGAGTTTCCTGAAAGCGAGGCTCAACTGTTCGGTACCAGGAGAGTACCCCTTCTATTTCAACGAAATACGTGAGTATGCATATGCGCGGTCCTTTCGCGGCTTCGATCGTGACTACGCTCGAGTAGTTTCAAACGAGGGCTCTCGCACGCTTCTAAAAGGTCCTCGTAAAAGAGCCTCTTCGATTCTGCACCGCGTTAGTTCCCACTTAGTGCATATACTGTTCCTCTACTTTTTCAGTTTTCTGCGATTTCCGCCCGATATACTTTCCCGTTCTACGAAATACTGTAAGAAAGAAAATGCAATTTTAAAGAGTTTAAAAGTTGCTCTTTTAAAGAGATC